AAAAAAAAAAAAAAAAAAAACTGGTATAGACCAGGTGTGGTGGCTCACACCTGTAATCCTAGCACTTTGGGAGGCCAAGGTGGGCAGATCACAGAGTCAGGTGATCGAGACCATCCTGGCCAACATGATGAAGTCCTGTCTCTACTAAAAATACAAAAATTAGCCGGGTGTGGTGGTGCACGTCTGTAGTCCCAGCTACTCCAGAGGCTGAAGCAGGAGAATTGCTTGAACCTGGGGGGCAGAGGTTGCAGTGAGCCAAGATCGCATCATTGCACTCCAGCCTAGGGCAACAGAGTGAGATTCCCTCTCAAGTTAAAAAAGAAAGTATTTGTAACAGGATGTGCTGGGGCACCCTATTCCCAAAGGAATGTAGTATATCGGTATTAACTGTGATGAAGAGGATAAGATGCTTGGGGTGATACCGGTTTGGATCAGGAAGATAAGATATACTATTATTACCCAATTCATGAGTATGTGATTGTCAAATGGGAAATTTTTTCCATAGCAAACACCTCGAGTCACGGACGTGTATATAACAGCTGAGCGTGAACTATGGGAACAGTCAGGAGTGCCGCAGGAAGCTGCAAAGTTGCTGTTCTACCTCTTTCTCCAGATGGTTTCACAAAGTAAGAGAAATGTTTTGATTTGGTCCTAGTTTGCCACTGTGATTGCTGCCTCTCTTTTCAGTCCTTTCCACACAAAAGGTAGATGAGTACCAAATGCCAAACGCAAGTTCCCGTCTGCCTGGTGCAGTGGCTCACACTGTAATCCCAGCACTTTGGGAAGCCGAGGCGGGTGAATCACCTAAGATCAGGAGATCGAGACCATCCTGGCCAACATGGTGAAACCCCATCTCTACTAAAAATACAAAAATTAGCCAGGTGTGGTGGCGTGTGCCTGTAATCCCAGCCACTCGGGAGGCTGAGGCAGGAGAATCGCTTGAACCCAGGGGGCGGAGGTTGCAGTGAGCCAAAGCGCCATTGCACTCCAGCCTGGGTGACAGAGCGAGACTCCGTCTCAAAAAAAAAAAAAAAAAAAAAAATCTAGAACTCAGAAACTTTTGAACAATTTCCTCCTAGCACAAAGGGACTCGGTAAGATGAGCCAGCGCTGCTTGGCAACTTTGCAAATCTCTTTAATGTGTGGCTTAAGACGGCTGGATTTTCTTTTCTTTCTTTCTTTCTTTTTTTTTTGGATGGCCGCTCACTACACTTTAGGGCGAAGACGGCTGGATTTTCATACCTGCTTCTGCATTTAACCTGGGGCATCTCGCGGGTCACACGGCCTCTGCAAAGCGAGAAGGGGTTCAATGCCGTGATCTCCGGGCCTGGATCAAAAGACTCAAGTCCTGGCCCCATCACACTCCGAGCAGTACAAACACCGCCTGCGCTGGCGGTGCCCGGGTCTCTTCACTCGCAGAGAGCGGTTGCACGGCCCCCAATCAGGGTCGCCCTGAGGCTCAGCCTTCCCCGGCCCCACTCCGAGCGCGCACAGGGCTGACGAGCCCACCCGGCCCCTGCCCCGGAGCACAGGGACACGGCGCGGACACGGCGCGGGCCCCGCACGGGGTACCGCAGTGACCCGAGGAAGGAGCCTACGGTAGACGCTCGCTGCAGAGGCGTCCGAGTGCTGGTAAACTGTAAAGCGCGGTCCTGCGTGGGTTGCTATGGCTATGGCTGCGCCAGGCGGAGGGCCTGCAGGACCAAGGTGCAGCCGGGACGAGGGCGCAGCGCCCCGGAGCTCCCGCTTCGTACCGAGGCGTGTTGGAAATCGCGCAGGTGGGGAGCCCGAGCCTGGCCCGGGCAATGTAATCGAGGACTCGGCGCTCTACTGATCCGGCCCCCGGGAGTGGGCGTGCCCATTTTCCTCGGGTGGTCTAACAGGCGTCGGAGAGAGCCAATAGTATGGCTTCGCAACTCCGCCCCTTCCATTCGATTGGCCGGCGCTGGAAAGCCGGGCGTGAGCGGCCGCAGACTCGGTAGTGAGTCGCCGCGGGTCTCTGCCTCACTTGCCCTCCGCGCCTCGCCGCTTTTGGGTTCTTCTGCTCTGTCCGCCGCCATGGCCCAGTGAGTGACTTGCCTCGGGCAGCCAGGCTCGGCCTCGACCTCGGCCTGCGGGGAACTCTCCGGGGACCGGGATTTGCCTAGTTCTTTTGGATGCCTTCCGCCCTGCGGGTCGCCTGAGCCCACCTGGTGCCCCGGGGCCCCTGCCTTACCCGCGGGCCCGACCCCCTGCACTTTCGGCCGCGCAGGCTCGGGGCGGGGCGGGTCCCTTCGAGGGCCAGGGAGGAGGCGCGGCCAGGCCTTGCCGACCCAGCGGGGACACCTGCGGGAAGCGTGCCAGCCGGAGTCGGGCGCGAGGGCGGAGCTGGGAGCCGCCTGCCCGGCAGAGGCTCTGCAGCTTGCGCGCCCGGCTTCGGCGGCGTCCGCCGGGAGGCGCGGAGGAAAGTGCAGACCCCAATCACGGCCGAACGGGGGAGGGCCGGGCCGCTGGGTTGCCGCGCATCGAGCGGCGTTGACTCCTTTGTTCTGTTTCCATTCCTCCAGAGCTGACATCGCGTTGATCGGATTGGCCGTCATGGGCCAGAACTTAATTTTGAACATGAATGACCACGGCTTTGTGGTAAGCCGCGCGGGCGCATTGTCTTTTCTCTGGTTCCCTGGCGCCTTAGCCGAGGCCGGCAATGGGTCTGGGAGCGCAAGGGTCTCTTGTCCGCGCTTTGCAAACGCGCTCGGTTGCTGCCCGTGGCATTTTTGTAAGGAAAGGAGAAGCATCCTGTAGCCGTGGGCGGGGCGGGCCGACCCGGAACTTAGTCCTGCGGAGTGTGCCTGTGGGTCAGTGAGGTTCACAGCCGGAATAAAAGGATCAATGTCTTAAGTAGAGACGAAGGGCGGGGAAGGAGAACCCCTGCTGGCTGTGTAGAGCTCTAACTTGATTGCCTGGTAAGTTCAGGGGAGAGTGAAAATGTTTCTTCTAAATGCTAAAGTGGCTTAGGCGTCAGGATGATCAGTAACAACAGACAGAGCCTCCTGTGGAACTGACCGATTCCTGGATTTGATTCCGAGTCCCAGCAGGTTACCTGTGGACTCCACCTGACATGCCAGGGGCAGTTGACCTTCACCTCGGTTCTCTGCCGTTTCATCCTAGTGAGGTGACATAACTTTACAGTGAGCCTCCCACAGCTGGGGGAGGGAAAGGCAAAGGCAGGTCTGACCTTCCCCAGAACTTGGGCCCAATGGAAGTGTCATTGTTATTTGGGCCACAGTCTGAAAGTCTTCAGTGTCCTGGATCTCCTACTCAGGCCTTTTGTCCTCCTAGGTCTGTGCTTTTAATAGGACCGTCTCCAAAGTTGATGATTTCTTGGCCAATGAGGCAAAGGGAACCAAAGTTGTGGGTGCTCATTCCCTGAAGGAGATGGTCTCCAAGCTAAAGAAGCCCCGGCGGATCATCCTCCTGGTGAAGGCTGGGCAAGCGGTTGATGATTTCATCGAAAAATTGGTGAGGCCAGCTCTGCCCTCATCTGCTGCCATGATAACAGCTGTTTTTGGTTCCTTCCCTTAGTTCTTCTTCTTTTAACTCCATTTTTTTTTTTTTCAATTTCTGCTAAGTTCTGACAAAATGATTGCTTAACTGTTGCAGTGTTGGTTAACTCGAGTGGCACTTATGAAGTAACTGTGTCCTTTGGTGATAGTAATTCTGAGGATACTAACAGACATTTCAATAAAAATTCATTAGGGCACAGTGGCTCAGTTCTGTAATCCCAGCATTTTGAAAGGCTGGTGCAGATGGATTGCTTGAGCCCAGGAGTTTGAGACCAGCCTGGGCAACAAGGTGAAACCCTGTGCCTACATAAAATTAAAAAAATTGGCTGGGTATGGTGGTGCAAGCTTGTGGTCCCAGCTACTTGTGAGGCTGAAGTAGGAAGATCACTTGAGACCACAGTGATCCAAGATCTCACCACTGTACTCCAGGTGCCTGGGAGACAGAGCAAGACCCTGTCTGAAAGGAAAAAAAAAAAAATGCTGGGCATGGTGGCTCACATCTATAGTCCCAGCACTTTGGGGTAGGCAGGTGGATCATGAGGTCAGTAGTGTAAGACCAGCCTGGCCAAGATGGTGAAACCCTGTCTCTACTAAAAATACAAAAATTAGCTGGTCGTATTAGTGGGCACCTGTAATCCCAGCTACTCGGGAGGCTGAGGCAGAGGTTGCAGTGAGCCGAGGTCACACCACTGCGCTCCAGCGTGGGTGACAGAACAAGACTCTTTCTCGAAAAAAATAAAATTAAATTAAAAAATATATTTCACTAACTAGTGCTTTTACAGGGTTCTCTGTCTTTGATGTTCAAAATAATCTGACAGTGTTGATTGTGTAATGTTTATGAGTGTTTATCACTGTTCACTAATAAATCCTGGTGTCTGAATTCAGAAATAGATTTCATTTTTCTCAGTATTCCTGTAAAGCAACAATTCTGAAGTAGTTGTATAATTTAATATAAATCACAAGATATCTCCTTAGGGGCTGGGTGCGGTTGCTCGCACCTATAATCTCAGCCCTTTGGGACGCCAAGGTGGGTGGATCACCTGAGGTCAGGAGTTCGAGACCTGCCTGGCCAACATGGTGAAACCCTGTCTCTACTAAAAATACAAAATTAGCTGGGCGTGTTGGCGCACACCTTAATCCCAGCTACTTGGGAGGCTGCGACAGCAGAATTGCTTGAACCTGGGATGCAGAGGTTACAGTGAGCTGAGATTGTGCCACTGCCCACCAGCCTGGCAACAGTGACACTCTGTCTCAAAAAAATAAAAATAAAAACAAGAGCTCCCCTTAGGGAATCTTAGGGAGCTGGATGCTTTTTGTACCAAACAGTTTGTTGGCTTTAGCAAGATACCTTTTTTGGAAGAAAAAAGTAGGGGAACCATTAGAAATAATGTATTAATATACCCCCAAATAATTGTACAGTAACTGCTCTGAAGAAGCCAGGCACTACCTATTTAGAAGAAATGTTTTGTTGCACAAAGTCCTCTAATCCCTTATTAGAGGACTGGTGTCAACAGTGGGGTTGTTTCCACAGGGAGAAGGATTTGTAACCAGTATGCCACTGTTTTTCAGACAGATGACCTAGAAAGGAAGAACATTGTGATTTTAAAAAAAAAAGGACATGGTAATTTTTTTGTGTGGCGAGCTGCCCGTGATCAGTTTCAGAGAAAACTGAAAAATGGTGGATGATTCCTCAATATAGGAAGATACTAAGTAATGTTAACTGGAGGCTTGTAGGGGGAAGATTCAGTAATAGATAACAAAGCCGAGCCTGGTTGGTGTGCTCTAGGCACACCATGTTCAAGGCTCTTTCTCTTCCTGATCTCCAAACTGTGGTCATAAAATCATTCATACACTAAACCATTTGATATTGACTTACTGAATCCCTATTCTCTTCTAGACACAGATGTTATAGTCAGTGTTTATTTGCTTACTTAAAAATAGAAATGGGGTCTTGCTATGCTGTTCAGGCTGGTCTGAAACTTGTGGGCTCAAGCGATCCACCTGCCTCAGCCTCCCAAAGTGTTGGGATGGATTACAGGTGTGAGCCACTGACCCTGGTAAGCCCTAAACTTTTAAATTAGAGTCCAACTCTAATCACAGAGGGTTATTAAAGGTTAAATAGGCTAGGTGCGTTGCCCTCCTGCCCAGCCAGGAGGATCTTTTGAGCCCAGGAGTTTGAGTCTAGCCTGGGCAATGAGATTAGTGTGGGCAACATGGTGAGATTCCATCTCTACAAAAAAAATTTTTTTTTTTTTAAGGCAGAATCTCACTCTATCGCCCAGGCTGGAGTGCAGTGGCTCGATCTCGGCTCACTGCAGCCTTTGCCTCCTGGGTGCAGTTCTCCTGCCTCAGCCTCCTGAGTAGCTGGGATTACAGGTGCAGGCCACCAAACCCGGCTAATTTTTCTATATTTAGTAGAGATGAGGTTTTACCGTGTTGGGCTGGTCTCAAACTCCTGACCTTGTGATCCGCCCACCTTAGCCTCCTAAAGTGTTGAGATTACAGGTGTGAGCCACTGTGCCTAGTCTCTACAAAAAAGTTTTGTTTTTTTTTGTGTGTGTGTTTTTTTTTGAGACGGAGTTTCA